ATAATATTAAAAATATAATAATATTAAAAAAAATACTATATCAAAGCCTTGGTTCACATTACACAGTTACATGTTTGCTGTCCACGTCAAACCTGCCAGAACTTCTATTGGCCCCTTACAAAGGGACGAGACAATGGGAATCTAAATATTTGTGCCTTATTTTGGTTCTGTTCTACTCAAATCAACAACACATATTTGATTTAATTAACAAAAGTTAAAACCATGAAACAAGAAAAGAAACCTGGAAAAAATGGAAAAGGAGCTAGAGTGACCAGATTGGACTGCTTTTTTTTTAATTTGCAGTATGGTACTTCATAAGAAAAAAGTAAGTTTGATTGCTTCTTCCTTTTTTTTTCACTGTTTGGCAAAGAAGCTTGGAAAAAATGAAAAAGGAAAAACCATCTATTTTTCTAGCTTTCTCCGTGCTGAACTTTTTTTTTTTTTAAGAACAAATATAAATTTAAGAAGGAAAATTTGAATGCATCAATTAAAATTAAAAGTGCATCTTTTATAATGATTTAGACCCAATTGGCCTACCATACCAGCCGCCTATGCTGGACCGTTGATGCTGACATTTTGTATCTTTCCCTTGCTCTGCTCCTAAGAAAATCCACGTAAAAGGAAAAAAAAAAAACGAAAATTATATCGTATAAATTTCTAATTTAAAATTTTCAAAAATTTTGAGAAATTGGATAAAGCTAAGTGTTTCGTGAGCATCTGTCGTAAGTTTTTTGATATCTACAATTAGTCATTAAAACAGAAGATAACTCACATTAAAAAAAAAAAAAAAAGAGATAATAATTAATATATTTTTTGATTTATTAAAAAATTATTATTTTTAAATTAATTATTATAAGGTGTAATGGTTGAACTATTAATTATTGATAGGTATGTTAAAGTAAAGGTGTAATAATATTTTTTAAAAAAAAGGGGGAAAAAAAAAAGAATATAAGATGATTCACATGCCTAGTGTCAGTCTTAGTTAATGGAAGCTCGACAAGACAATTTTCAATATCGCGTGGCTTGAGGCAGGGAGATCCACTGTCCCCATTTCTATTCACAATAATTGCAGAAGGATTAAATGAGCTAATTTCAACAGCAAGTAAGAAAGGTTTGTTGGAAGGAGTGGAGATGGGTCCTAGAGGTTTCAAAGTCACTCACCTACAGTATGCAAATAATACAATTTTGTTCGGTGAAGCAATAGAGGAGAATATATGGGCAATGAAGGGGATCTTGAGAGCATTTGAACTGGTATTTGGCTTAAAGATTAATTTTAATAAGAGCCATTTGATGGGACTGTGTGTGGAAGAAAGTTGGGTGGAGAAAATCGCATGGGTGCTGTGCTGTAAAAAGGGACCATTGCCCTTTAAATACTTGGGAATTCCCATAGGGGGGTGCAGTAGGAAGCTTTCCTTTTGGAAATCTTTGGTGGATATCTTCAAAAAAAAGCTATCTACATGGAAGGGTCGGTATTTATCGCTCGGTGGACGAATTACTCTCATGAACTCAATGCTGTCCAACCTTCCTGTGTTCTGGATGTCAATATACTTGATCCCAAAAGGTACGCTCCTCTTACTTGATAAAATTCGAAAAAGATTTTTATGGGGTGGGACTGAAGAGGGTAAGAGAGTAAATTGGGTCAAGTGGGGTCGAGTGTGCAAGGATAAAGAGAGAGGAGGCTTGGGTGTTAAGGATTTGAGGAAGTTTCATATGGCTTTGTTGGGTAAGTGGTGGGGAAGACTAGTGTCGAAGGATAGTGGGTTATGGAAAAAAATCATTTATGAGAAATATGGGAGGGAAGGGATCCAAGCTACAATTGGCCGAGGGAGAATTCAAGTCTAGGCTCTAGATGGTGGAGGGATTTATGTAGAGTGAATGTTATAGCAGAAGAGAATAGGGGATGGTTGGAGGACGGGCTAAAGCTAAAGGTAGGAGAAGGAATAGAGGTAAGTTTCTGGTGGGATAGTTGGTGTGGGAAGGGTAGTCTTGCTAACAAATTTCCAAGACTTTACTTAATTTCGACAAGAAAGAACAAAAAGATTAATCAGATGGGAAAGTGGAACAATGGCATTTGGATATGGAATATACAATGGAGAAGGAACCTGTTCAGTTGGGAGAAGATGCAGGAAGCAAAATTGCTGAATCAAATCCATGACATCACAATCGAGAGAGGAAAAAAGGATCTGTGGGAATGGCAGCATAATAAAGATGGGAGATACACTACAAAATCTGCATATAAGGCATTGTCAGATGGAAATGGAGTGGAACAACCAAGAAGGGTGACACAAATGGTTTGGAATTAGCTCATCCCTACCAAGATATCAATTTTCGCATGGCAGCTTTTGCAAAACAAGATCCCAACAAGAAGCAATCTCTTTAAAAGAGGAATACTGAAAAATCCCGAGGAGTGCAAGTGTATATTCTTCGGGGTGGAGAATGAGGATTCCAATCATCTCTTTATACACTGTAAAATAGCTTCAGATTTGTGGAGGGATTGTTACAATTGGTGGGGCATTATAATAGTACAAGAAAAAGACTGTAAAAAGGTATTTGAACAGCACCTGAATGCAGCTAAAATGACTACGGAAAAGATTGGATGGGAGTGTATCTGGTTCACGGTGACATGGACAATCTGGCTTGCCAAGAACGAGAAGATCTTTAAACAGATAGAGGTTGACAGGAGAAAGCTAATAGAGATGGTATAGATAAGGGCATTCAACTGGATCAAAGGTAAAAGGGAAGGCTGCTATTTTTCACTATCAGATTGGATTCAATACCCGACGGGCTGCTTAAAATTCAATTGTGCCAATAAAAGGAAAGATTAAGGAAAAGCAGCAAACTCGGTGAAATCCCCTGTTTGAAGGTAGAGGAAATTTTGGAGGGATCAGGTGTGGATGTAATCTGATCCTTGTGATGGGTTGGGGTACCCCTTGTACCCCATTAATTAATTAATAAATAAAATATTATCCTTTTGCTTTTCAAAAAAAAAGAAGATGATTCACATGAAAATTAAGTAAATTTTCTCAACAAAAGAAGTAGCGTAAACGTATTAATTCAAGCATATACGCACATAAATTCTGGCCTCTGCGGTGTTAAGGGAAAGTGAGAGAAACAACATCGGCTTTGATGCTAGAGGCGAAGAAGAGGTAGCAAGCGAGATTGATATAGTTCTAGATATGCAATTTGTATTTTGTTAAAATATTTAAAGTTTAAGTATGTGTTTTGTTGCAAATTTGACTAATTTAAAGATTAAATTGTACTGTAAGTGTTTATTTTTATTTATTTATTTATTTATTTTATCTTAATTGTACAATAAAAATAAATCATATCTTATTCTTTATTCCACTTCACTCGCATGTCATACGATTCGAATTTAGGATCTTTCACTTCTAATTAAAAGAGATAATTATTGAATTGTTTAGGTAGTTTTCAATGTTCATTTTCATTTTACCTCCACAGTCTACAGTAATTCGTGTCAACTAAAACTAACGGAATGCAATGGTAACAGATTAACTGGGTCTGATTTGCATACATCCTGGGGTTCAAGAGCTTATACACTTTAAAATTAATTTAGGGGATTTCTTTGCCAATATAAGAAAGTTTTTAGGGGCCTTTTTTTTTTGTTAATATGGAAAAGTTAAAGTGTTTAACACACTGTTTTACCATTCTTGACTTGGCTTACTCATGCACTCCAAACATACCTTGAGTCCTTTTATGCCTTGCTTTTTGGAATTCTTCCACGTATTCTCGTGTACTTCCTGTCTTTTTTAATTGTCAGATTTGAAGCGGGTAACGTGTTTTGCTCACTAAGTTGAATTTATTTGAAGTAATTTTAGTTTAAATCAAGAGAATATCATATATTTATAAAAGTCAAGAAGTGATTAGCAAGAAACAAAAATAGAAAGAGATTGAATAAATGAATGGTATCTTTTGAGTAAATAAATAATGTCATTTAAGTTTAGTGGTCCATTTTTAATTAGTATTAAACTATAAAAGTTTATACCCTATTTTTGGTCTCTCTTCTTCAACAAATTTTTTTTTTTAATTCTTCTATTTAAGAAAATTTTCTTAATCCCTTCATTTTCTTTTTACACATATGACATGATGTGTTAAATGATGAAACTTTCAAATTTTAAACCATAAGGAAAGCCTCTTTCTAGCCCCTCAACTTTAGAAGTTCTATTATTTAACGTGTGACGTGTGTAAAAAATAACAAAATAATTAAAAATTGATTTTTTATTAAAATAAAAGGATTGAAATAGGATTTTACCGTACTTGAATTTCGTGATTTGATAATTATATATCAAATCATAAGATGTATTCCAGCCCTAGAGTGGGATTCAAATTCCTCCTCTCCAAAATTGTAATCCATTCAAAAAAAAAATAATAATAATAACCAATTATAAAAAATAACATTTAAGACTTTTTTTTGGATAAAATGTAAATCTTACTATCCAATATAACTGTCTGTACAATAAAGCAACTAATAAGCTACTTTAAAGCAAAAGAAACTATCAAAAAGAATGAAACTGTATAGACAATACAAATGTTAATGTTTATACAAAGGTTAATGTTTCACAATTGTCTCAAAACCCCATTTACATGCAATAGCCATGGGTAAAAAAGAAGAGTTTGACCGAGCAAAACCTAAAATCCTGCTCAGTACCTCAAATTGAATGTCTTGAACAATCATGCTCTCTACTCTAAAATGCTGTTGGTGAAACCTTCTGCTACTTTCCAACCATATGTCGTAGACTGCTGCATTCCAAGCTATTTTAATTAACAAATTGTGTAAAGACTTCCTTCTGAATTTTTTACCCACCCATTGTAATAACATTTAAGACTTTATATCTCTGCAAGTGGGGGTTAGTGCGTCATCCCTCTAAGATCTGTACAATGGGAAAAATAAAAAAGTTTATTTTAGTATCATATTATCACAATTAATATTATTTTACATAAATTTACATTTTTATATATTTAATATTTAAATAAAATTCCTAATGAAATACCATTTTCCAATGCATGGAACTTTTTTTAAAAATTACACTAATATTATTTTATTCAACTTACTTTATATAGATATATAAATAAAAAATTAAGTTAAAAATAAAAAATAAAAATAAAAAAGGGGAAATCTTTGATCCAATAGCTGTTAAGCCATTGGATGAAAGAAAAATGCAGCGCCTAAGGCCTAACGTGATGTGTTGATCTGCTGCCCCTAAAGAACGGAAGTGCTTTAATTTCATTTTAAAATGAATAAAACCAAGAATAGAACATGTTGGGTTCAGAGAACAAAATTCACTTTTTTAAGATTCTTCAACGTGGCTGTTAAAAAGTTTTGTTGTATTTTTGGGAAAGAACACATCGTATAAAGCTTCAAATGTACACGCTCTAATGCTTCCCACTTTGAAACTCTAGAGACGCCATCAAACTTCATAACAAAATTACAGCTAATTCCATTTTCTTACACTTTCCATGGATCATAGTCTCAGTTTCCTTGACAACAAACATGATCCCCTGTCCAATCTTTTCCACAGAGATAACAAAATTGGAATTCACACCTGCAACCACAATCCACAATTTTTTGTTGAGAAAAAGAAGAGAAATTTCCCATTAACAACAAGAACAGAAATACCCATTGACAAACAAGAAAAGAGCAATAATGTTCCATTACATTATTGCCTGAGAAAAGCCTAAAATTGGTTTCCAATCCAAATCATCCCACTATGAATTAAACTAAAAATACAATACAAATATAACTTAGCTACTATTATTTAGAGCATATACTGACCTGCAAATCATATGAGGGCAACCATCTATTCTTTCCACAAAGAACTTGCATCGGGGACACCGAATCCATTTTTGCTCCTCAGCAAGTTTCCTCATCATGAGATCATCTTTGTTTTTCTCATCCTCATCCAGCTTCCCATATTCCTCACATCTCATCCCGTAATGCCATGGAACCCCACACTTTGCACAGAACAATCTGTGGCAAAATTGGCACTCGGATTGCCTGATATCTCCTCCTTCGTTATCAATCACGAACATGGCCGAACAATCCTCGAAAGGACAGAAAATCCTCTCCGAGTGAGGAATCATTTCCCTGCACAGAGCATCTTCCCAAAGACTGATTACTTCTTTAGCAAGCAAAGGCCTGAAATCTTCAAGCTCCAAGACAGCTTTGCAGTTCTCCCCCAGACATGTAATCGTGGTTCTGCCAACCTCAATTCTTCGCCTGACTTGCCGGCATATGCAGTCAGAACAAAAGGAGTGAAAACAGCTCCCAATTCTGATCATCTGATGATTCTCTTTTTTTTCAACACAAATTTCACAGTAGCCCTGCGAGGACTCACCGAATTCTCCTGTTGTCTCTCGGCTGTCTGCTGCACTTGGTAGGTGGTTGTTGTCGGTCATTAGTTGAGAATTGTCTGTAGAGATTTTCAAAACCTCCTGATACTGTAATTCTTCAGCATACCTGGCATCCGATTCCAAGAAATTTTCTTCTCCACCACCCTCCATAAGCTCAGGAATATATAGAAATTGGAAGAAACCAAGTTCCAATTTTGATTTTGTTGCCATTAGAACGGAAACCTCGATTAATGTTCAGCTATCTGCTGTCTGCTTTGGAAGCAAGCTGCCTTTAAAATACTGATTGTAAATTCATTTGAGTCGTGCGTAGAATTTACGGGGAACTTGCTAGGAAATTGTTTAGAACCTAAATAAAGTTAAAACTTAGTTAGATAATATCGCTTGTAATTGTAATTATCTGTATTTTAATTTTTTAATATTTTAAAAATATATAAAATATATTTTATACATTTAATATTTATTTTAATTAATATTTTATATTTT